GTATCACAAATTAAATCGGATTACATCGTAAGACTTTTTAAAATGAATTTGTTATTACAGATTAAATCGTATATGATGTTTAAAATTAAATTAAAATCTGCACGTATATGGCCTCCACTTTTGTACGTATAAGCCATTTCTTTGCATTATATACGAATTGTTTGTTTGTATATATGTTTGTATATCACGAAAACAACTTTGAATATACGTGCATTCTGGTTGTCTGGGTTAGTTCTTTTCAGGACTAGCCATAGGGAAAGTAGACGATTGAAGGGCATAGATAGTTCAGCGCATCGTGGCCAGTGATTGTTCCTCGAAAGGTCCTCTGAGCCGTTCGGGATTGGTGCTGGTGGATATCGAGCATCCAGTACCCCGCTGTCCTATCGTAGCGTTGGCTAGTGAAATAATATGAACAGATAGAAATAACTAATTTTACACGATACGGAATCAATATTTGACTTAAAAGATGAGACGTAAACAAACATGTCGAGCAATATTAGGTGGAAGTGGATTGAAAAGTTCGTTGCTCGACGTAAAGTGAGTATGATTAAGCTATATTTTGCGTCTGTTATGACTAAATTTTTTGTCAAAATTGACGCTCGTATATGTCATTCTCAGAGCACCTAAATTTACATGAATTTTTCTAAGTGTGTGAATTTGCTACAAAATTTCAACCGAATTATAACTTTCCTCCAGAAATCTCATGGACTTTTTGCAGAAGGTCAAGCGATTTCCAGCAAAAGTCCGAAAGGTTTCCCACAAAATACTCACTCATTTCACCAACAGTCTAAACACTCATTTCATCCAAAAGTCCTCTCCCCAGATGTTCTATTGTATCACTATGTAAGTCTTGTGAACTAACTCTTGATATATTATGAACTTCCTTCAGAAGTCCTTAAGACAGTTGCTCAGAAAAACTGTGAACCTCCTCTAAAATTCATATGAATTTTTCGTAGAAGTTCAAGTGATTTCCAAGAGAAAACCTAAAGACCTAAGCGGGAGGTCTATAAACTTCCCACAACTGCTAAGAACATTCTCCCAAATCCTTAACGATTTTTCTCCTGAAGTCTTGTAAATAATTTTTGATTGATCCCTCTGTAAGTTCTGGGAACTTTCTTCTGAAATACGATTGAAATCCTCCAGAAAAGTTCCCTCAGAAGTATTATGAACTTTTTCTTTAACTCTTAAGGATTTCTCGCAGAAGTTCCATAGAGCATTATTTATCTTGATGATCTTTTGAATCTATGTGCAAGTCCGGTGAACTATCCCCTGAAGTATTATGGGCTTCCTGTTCTCAGAAAATTTCAGTTAACTTCATAGAGTACTTCTTCCAGAATACCGGTGTGCTTCCCTTAGAAGTTCTGTAAAATTAATTTGTTAGTCATATGGACTAACTTCTGAAAGAATATAAAAGTCCTAAAAACAGTCCCATCAACAATCAATACGAAACTAACGATTTTAAATTGGCTCACTACTTGACTAGCTTATTGGTCCCAAGCAAATCGATGAACGTACCCCATTCTAGTCGAAATTCTAGTACTACACAATGTTTGTTTTGATTTGCTATGAAAGTTTGACAGATAAAATGAGGGTTTAGTGGATTTTCCTATGTTTCGAGGGGTGAATCGATTAGCTTGGGACCGAAAAGAGTACCAGAGCTGAGCCAAAAAGTTGAGCACGTTATTTCGGGACCTTCTAGTCTTAGAGTTACATCTATAATGGACTTTTTGAAGAAGTTCAAGCGATTTACAGCCGAAGTACGTAGGAACTCACACGAAAGTTTTATGACTTCAAACAAAATCCAAAGATCTTTCTCGAAAAGTATTAACGGTCACTCTCCAAAACTCCTCCTTTCGGATTCCTTTCCACAACAGTTCTGATGGATACCTTTGTAAGTGCTGGGAATTACCTCCAAGAGTACTATGGACTTCCTACAGAAGTTTTTAAGATAGACCCTAGAACTATAAACCTCCTCCAAAGTTCTTATGAATTTCCAGCAGAAGCTATTTTTTTTCTGGCAGGTTTTGATTTTTCTAAAAAAATGGAAAAAGATAACAAAATTTCAAACAACTCTGTTTTTTCTCAGGTGCCTGGAAAAGTTAAATGCAAAAATATTCTTTCGAACTCATCATGAAAACAAAATGTTGAACTGGAACTGGAGAACCGTGAAATACCTTTTTGTACTTTCGATATATCAAGTCGAAAAAATAATTGACTAGTTTTGGATATTTTTCCAACTTGAGTTTTTGTCCATCATTTTTTTCATTTTGAGCTATAATGCAAAAGGTGGTATTCATTGTCCCTTAAAAATAAAAAAAAAAAATTAAAAAAATTCCGTTCTTGAGCAAACGATTGTTTCGTATTTATTTTAAATTTAAAAAGAAATTTAAGGGTGCAATTTAGTTTTCAAATAGTTCCAGATGTTCCCTACATTATTGTCAAAAATACTAAACCGATTGGACAAACTTTTCCGAGTAACATATTTCTGAAGATTAGTTTAAATTTTTTTTTTTCAATAGGCTCTTTTCAAAATAAACGCTCGATTTAAAATGATGATCAGAAGATGCAAAATGGCATTTTTTGTCATGAGGAACGTTTCCAAAAAAGTTCAGCCATACAGAAAATACGAAAATTAATGGTTTTGCGAATTTGTCTCGTCTCGTAAAATTCCATGAGTTTTCCAGGTTTGTCCAGACCTTTTTGGAAAAAATTTCCGTATTTATAAGAGAGCTGTCCACATTTTAGTACAGTTCAATCTCCAAAAATATCTCCAAATGACAAAATGACAAGCGATCAACGAACCGAATGATAACGCTATGCCAGAAGTGGAAAGCAATAATGATATAATCTTCTTCCTTTTTTTCATGACAAGCAGCCCGTGCGAAACAGTTCCACTCAGGGCGGTAGAAGGAAATGAGCCAATTGTTGGCAAGCTGCTTCACGACGTAAAGTCGAAGATGATACACGTGTGTTAATGGGATTTTTTTTTGTTATATCTTTTCTCGATTCGGATCAAGCTATGTCCTCATCCGTGTATATTGCAACAAAGCAGGCAAGCAATATATCATTATATTTCTACCACTCTGATCGAGCTTTGTTACAGAGCGAGTTTGTCATGGTAGCCGTAGCAACCGTTTTGTTTGTATCGTTGGTTGCATTATGTGTTTGGATTCGCTGATAGACAATTCGGAAGGAGATTTCCCCACTTTATTGCTAAAACATTGCTTAACGGAGAAAATCTTCTTCCACATTTCTTCCCCTTGAATAAAATCCCAGATATGTTTTTGGTGAGGCCTGTAAAACTTGGCTCCTCGCGGCCATCTTGAAAAACGTCATAATGATGCAGCTTTAAACATTTTGCACGGCAAGGTATGGGAGTGTAATTTTAAAATCCTTCGATGCGTTGGCCGCGAGAGGCCAAACTGTATAGTCCTATTATAAAGCATAAATTAAATAAGGAATTCATCTTACTTAACCTATGATTTAAATTGAATGAATTTCACGGACAGTTCCTAAGTAAAAACTTACTGTATTCACACCTTTGATTTGGCGCCCTTGGCGGGGACCGTTTCCGCCACCCTGTCACTGCGGCCGTGACTCTTGATATGAATGAACTATTTCCCGGTCAATAAACTGAAAAGGGCCTATCAGTTTTTGTAAACAATACTTTGAAGGCCCTTTTCAATTGTTGGTCGAGATTTGATGAAATGCCAGGAGCCAGTTTGGCTGACACAATTTGATGATATTGATGTTGCTTCTCATAGCCGTTAGGGCTCAAAAGCAATGTGGGCGGAAGCGAAACGGAAACGGCAAGTTTGACAGCTCACAATTGACATCAAGATGCCTAACCTAGAGTCGGTGTATAATGAGTCACGCCAAGAGTGAAGCCAAGTCTACCTATTGAACTGTCAAACCGACTGCCTATCGTGCAAAGTAAACAAACATTACGAAGCTATGAAAGGTCCACGAAAGGTATTGCAATAAAATATAAAATATAATCGAAGAAATGATCAACACCATGCGGTGAGCTTTAAATAGTCATGGGATACGTTTGGTAATGATCAGTAATGACTATTTTTTGATAAGATAATTTGACAAAATCCTTGATATAATGATTTACTACAGCCGCTATTTTTTGTTTCTCGCTAGAAGTCATTTGAAGTTGATGTAGAAGTCCTCTGTTGCCAAGTGAAAATAAAGGGAATCTTTCGAAAACCGTGATGCGAGTTCAACTGTTTTTCTCTTGGCGTGACTCATTATACACCGACTCTAGCTCAACCGAAGTCAATTGGGTTTTAATAAGTTTGAATCCGACAAGTAGGCTTACTCATACCCCGTACAGACTATGGCTTATATCATGTAATATAGGCTGTCTTTCAATGAGCACTCATCCATAGGATTTCCAGTAAAAAGTAGATGTATGAGTGCTCATTGCAAGACAGCCTATATTACATGATATAAGCCATAGTTTGTACGGGGTATTACAGAGCAACAAATACATTTTAAAATTACATCCAAGAGGATGCACTTCAATCATGTCGAAAATCTCAAGTTATTTTTATGGCTACAAAAAATAAATAAATGCAGTAAAAGCAGCGTAATTTCAGTTGATGCACTGTATTAATGATAATTTTGACTTTGAAGTGCATCCACTTTGATGTGATTTTAAAATTTATTTTTTACTGTGCAGGTCGAACTTATCCACTTCCGCTGTTATTGCGCTTGGGCCTTTAGAATCAGAAACGTATCAATGTTCTGTTCCTCTGAAATCACTCTTAATTTCATTAGGTTTGATTTTTTTTTAAATTTTGTTATTCTCAATTCTTGATTCTCGATCCTTGGTTCTCGATTATTGATTATCGATTCTTGATTCTCGATTCTTGATTCTTGATTCTCGATTCCAGAGTCTCGATTCGAAATTCTCGGCATATGATACTTGCACAAATTTCCTATATCTTGTATATAACTAATGAAATTCTTTTCTCTTCCACTAATTCCAGGTCAACTCCGCCAGCAAGACCGCAGACAAATCCGTTTCGGCCGAGCTCACCATCCTGGCCAATGTGACGGACAATCAGGCACGTTACCGCTGTGAAGCCCACAATTCGGCCACCGAGATTCCGCTCTTCCAGACGAAAACCCTGAGCGTTCACTGTAAGTACACTGACTATTAGAGTGGTTCAAAAGTTTGCTCCACCAAGTACAATCGATTTCAAATCAGGTCCTGCTAATTCTTCCAAAATTTGAGCTAATTTGGATACGTACTGGCCATTTGAAATTTATAAGGCTATTGCTATGGGAAAAGTTAGCGTTTTGTTCTCATCGTTCTAGTCCTTTGCTCTTGCAATCTGTGGGAACAATTTCTATCTGAACTAAGGTCCAATTTTCCCAGCTACATTTTTGTTGAAGACTGACTATTAATTGAACGTCAAGATAGTTAGTTATTAATTAATTAGAAACATGGCATGCTCCATAAACTGCTCAGCGGGTAACATTGGTATGCTTAGAGCCAAGGATAGGGCTAAACAATCAAGGCTGCTATGTCGTAAGTGCAGGATGCAGTGTTGCCCTGAATGCAGTCCATTAATCATATCAGAAAGTAATCGGCTTCGAAATCAAATAATAACTAATTACTAAACTTAGACTTCAATAATCAAAAAGTGGTCTTCAGCAAAATCATAGCTGATAAACTTTCACATAAGATAGCAAGCTTTTCCGTAAATCATTATGTCGAAGAGGCCTAGCTCTGAGGACAACAAGTTCACTTTTCCCGTATAAACTTCAAAGCGTCAGTGCAGTATGAGTTCGCATCCAAATACACTCAAATTTTAGAAAAATGGTCAGGACCGGATTTAGAATCGATTGAACCTGGTAGAGCAAAATGATTATTTTGAACCACCCTACTGACTATACTGCCCATGTGTGTGTGCATCCCTCGCTGGGGAGCAATTTGCCTCGCCAGCAACCGCAGTCATTTTTTTCGCTAATGACCCCATTTCCGCGTGCGTTCGTACCGTGAATTTGCGGTATCGTTCCTTCGCGGGAAAATCCACTGCACCATTTAAATCCCATGCAATTTTCCCCCGCTCACATCAAAACCGACACTGACGACACCATGTATTGCCATATTCCACAGTTGCCCCGGAGACGGTGAAGATAACGATCGATCCGCCCGAGCTGAAGCCCGGTATCGAGGCAACGCTGATCTGCGACTCGAGCTCCAGCAATCCGCCGGCGAAAATTTCCTGGTGGCGCGATGGCATAGCAGTAACAGGTAAATCCCATAGGTTCATGTTTTGACATGCGTTCCCATCTCATCCGCTCAGCAGTAGCTAGTTCCTCAGGACAACGATGCGCGGGTTTATAATCGAATTCGACAGCCGTGTGCCACTCCTGCTGGGTTGAGTTTCCTCCGGAAAGGTCTATTACGCATATTGCACAGATGGGGATTAGTGTGTGTCGAGCAGCAACTCAGAGTGGGTACTTTTCAGAAAACACCATCACCGTCACCGACGGCCGGAGTGACATTGATGCCACCACAAAATGTGACACACGTCGCTTCGTTTGAGCTGCGGAGCCACGAAATCGAATAAACCCGGCAAGAAGCCCCTTCTTAATGGCAGCCGGCGGAAATTGTTCACATATGTCTGAAGCACTTTATCCCGGGGAAACCCCACCCAGCAGCAGCATCAGTGGGAATGCACTTTCCCAGAGTATTAGTGTAAGCGCAGCCCAAGCCCTCTGCATCTATCTAACCCATTTCCCCCTTTTTATTCCCGAAGGTATAAATAACTCGTCCAAACCGGGCCTCTGGGGTGGCACCGTATCGTCGCTGGAGCTGAAGGTAAACATCACCCAGGACATGAACGGAAACGTCTATACGTGTCAGAGCTCGAACGAGGCTTTACAGCGCAGCGTACACGAGGCAGTCAATTTGCAAGTACTATGTACGTCAGAGCAGCGGCTCGTTCTTTCATTCTTCGACTATATTTTCGGGGAGTGTTGGCTGCTCCGGATTAGGCATGTTTCCAGCGTTCCTTCAGCGGGTACGGCAGGAAGTGTTGTAGCTGTCTTTCGGTAAACATCAATTCCTTTCAACTTCATGCCGGAATTGTTGACAACGTTTCTGTATGGCTTGGGAGTTAAGACACTGGTTTTGATTGGATTATTTGAAAGAATTTTTTTGCTTTGATGAGATACTTCTTGGAATGTTACGCAGGATTTGAATTAATAAGTGCAAGCAGTCTTGATTGGAATTTACAATAGAGCTAATATACTATAGAGGAAGAATATCGCCGGTGTTCCCTTTGTTTGCCCGACCAATCAGGCGCTGGTTCGTGTTTGACAGAAAATTGGTTGTTGTCTCCTCTTTCTCTTAGGTTTTGACTGTAAATTCAATAGAGCTAATAAACTATAGAGGAAGAATAGCGCTGCCGTCGCTGTCGAAACATCTTTCCTTACATCTAATAGGGGCACAACTGTCAAAGCGAGAAAAAAATATGCAGTTTGACAGTTCTGTCGTTGTTTTTATAATACCGGGTACAGAACTGTCAAACTGCGTAGTTTTTTCTCGCTTTGTCAGTTGTGTCCCTATTAGATGTTAGGAAAAGATGTTTCGACAGCGATGGCAGCGTTATTCTTCCTCTTTACAGCTATCGCCCGAAGAACGCGTTACCCACTGAGTTGCACCCACCGCTTTTTCTAGGCGGGATTTCAATCAGGGCCCCACAAAGTCACTTTCAATCGAAAATCGTCAAGCGACGATGATGCTGTCAACCATCACTTTCAATTGAAAGTCATTCTGTCTTCTCTTCGAGCAGATCCCCGCCAACATCAACAGAACCACTTTCATGCTGTTTGTTTTGGCTCGACTCGTGTTCCTTTCTTCTTTCATTTTCAAATGAACTTACTTTTGCATTGAAGCGAAGCTGTTCGATCCAAATTCGTACAGTTTTTGTGACTTTTATTGCATCAATATAGGATTTTTTTTTAATCGGGGTGACGTCTAGAGATCAAAAATTGATATGCGACGCCATGTTGAAATCCAAGATGGCGGCTTCCAATTTACGAAAAAGTGGAAATACAGTCAAATACACATCAATGTTGGTATTTTTGTAATCGGTTTGAAGTCTAATTGATATGTGACGCCATTTTGAAATCCATGATGGCGGCTTCCGATTTCAGATTAAGTGGGAAATACTGTCTACCCATTAATTTAGGTATTTTTGGAATCGGGATGGCGTCTAGAGGCCGGAAATCGATATCCGACGCCATTTTGAAATCCAATATGACGGCTTCCTATTTCAGAACAAATGGGAAATGCTGATGCCGTCTCATCAATATGGATATTTTTGAAAACGGGGTGACTTCTTAAGATTGGAAATCAATAGCCGACGCCATTTTTAAATCCATGATGGCGGCTTTCGGTTTGAGAAAAATTTGTAAATTCTATCAAATGGTTTTTTTAGAATCAGGGTGACGTCTAAAAGCCGGAAATCGATATCCGACGCCATTTTGTAATCCAAGACGGTGGCTTCCGATTTGCGGAAAAGTGTCAAATATCCTAAAATATGGTTATTTTCAGAATGGGGATGAGACGTAGATGCCGAAAATTGATGTCGCGCCGTCTTTAAATCCAAGATGGCGGCTTTGGTTCAGAAAAACTGTGAAATACTGTCAAATATCGATCAATGTGGGTTTTTTTGAATCGGGTTGACATCTAGAAACCAGAGATCGATGTCTGACACCATCTTTAAATTCAAGATGGTGGCTTCCGATTTCAGAAGAAGTGTCAAATAGCCTACAAATGGCATCGAATATCGATTTTCAGCATCTACGCGTCGTCCTCGTTTCGGAAATACCCAGATCTTAGGGTATTTGACACTTTATGTGAAATGGCCGATGGCCGCCATATTGGATTTCAAAATGGCATCGGATATCGATTTTCGGCATTCACACGATGTCCCTGTTCTGAAAATACTCGTTTTATGAAACTTGATGGCCACCATCTTGGATTCCAAGATGGCGTCGAATATCGATTGTTGACATCCCCGTTCCGAAAAAAAAAACCATATTGTAGGATAGTTGATACATTCTGAATCCTGATGGCTGCCATATTGGATTCCAAAATAACGTCGAATATCGATTTTCGGCACCTTCGCGTCGTCCCCGTTCCGAAAATACCCGTATTGTAGGGTATTTGAGACTTTCCCTGACCCCGATGGCTGTCACCTTGGACTCCAGAATGGCCTCGTTAATTTAATTTTCGTTTAATTTACCCTATCCCTATCGGCAACCGATATTGTGTGGGTAGGTACTATCCGGATTCACTGAAACCTCCGTTTACGAAGTCTTTTTTACGCAGTATTCAATATACGTCCCTCTTTTTACGAAGGTTTTTTTTACGAAGTAAATCCCAAATAACGAGTTTTCTTTTTGTGATTTTGGGAAACTGGGATATACTATGAAATACTTCACAATATAGGTATTGTTGGAATCGGAGTGACGTGTAGGGACCGGAAATCAATGTCTGACGCTATTTTGAAATCCAAGATGGCAACTTCCGGTTACAGAAAAACTTGGAAATTCTGCCAAATACCCCCACAAGATGGGTATTTTTGAAATCGGAGTGACGGTTAGGGACCGGAAATCGATGTCTGACGCCATTTTTAAATCCTAGATGCAACTTCCGGTTACATAAAAACATGGAAATTCTGCCAAATACCCCACAATATGGGTATTTTTGAAATCGGAGTGACGTTTAGGGACCGTAAATCGATGTCTGACGCCATTTTGAAATCCTAGATGGCAACTACCGGTTACGTAAAAACATGGAAATTCTGCCAAATACCCCACAATATGGGTATTTTTAAAATCGGAGTGACGTTTAGGGACCGGAAATCGATGTCTGATGCCATTTTGAAATCCAATATGGCGGCTTCCGGTAACAGAAAAGCTTGGAAATTCTGTCATACACCCCACAATATGGGTATTTTTGGAAATGGAGTGACGTCTAAGAACCGGAAATCGATGTCTGAAGTCATTTCGAAATCCAAGATGGCGGCTTCCAGTTACAGAAAAATTGGCAAATACCACAACGTCACCCCGATTCTTAAGATACCCATATTGTAGGTTATTTAATATTACTTTTATGTTTTTATGTAACCGGAAGTCGCGATATTGAATTTCAAAATGGCATCAGACATGGGTTTTCAGTCCTAATAAGTCACCCCGATTCCAAACAACCCATATTGTTGAGTATTTGACAGTATTTCCCAGTGTTTCTGTAACCGGATGTCACCATCTTGGATTTCGAAATGGCGTCAGACGTGGATTCTCGGTTCTCACAGGTCACTCCGATTCCAAATATATCCATATTGTTGTGTATTTATCGGTATTTTTCTGTTTTCCTATAACCGGAAGCCACCATGTTGGATTTCAAAATAGCGTCAGACATCGATTTCCGGTCCCTACACGTCACTCCGATTCCAAAAAGACCCATATTGTGTGGTATATGACAGAATTTTGAAGTTTTTCTGTAACCGGAAGCCGCCATCTTGGATTTCAAAATGGCGTCAGAAATCGATTTCCGGTCCATACACGTCACCCTGATTCCAAAAATACCCATATAGTGGGGTGTTTGACAATATTTTCAAAAACCTCTTTTTACGAAGTAAATCCCCAAATAACGAGTTTTCTTTTTACGAAGTAAATCCCAAATAACGAGGTTTTTTTTACGCACTAATTCGATTTACGAACCCCCATTTTGGTTCGTAAATGGAGGTTCCAGTGTACTATATTTTGATGCCTGCGTCAGCAGGTCGTGACCATGCGAATGAGCCCCGAATTGAAGTGAAAGTGGAAAAAACGAAGGAGGCAGTTTTCGAGTCATTCATTGCGTCAATTGAAACAAGTCTTTGCTTCAAATGAAATGAACTGAAGCACTTAACGAACGAAGCAAGTGATAGTCCAGTCATGTTTGAAAAGAGGAATGTTCATTGTGACTCGATAACTAGAAACACGATGAGTTACACGAAAATGATATTGCTCGAAATGAAGCGATTCTGTGGAGAGTTCATTTTTTTCTTTTCTTTGTTTCGAAAATGCAGAACCCTGATTTCAACCAGTCGGTCTGATTTTTTGCATGTGAGTAGTGTCAATGGAGAGCTAGTCACTCGCAGAAAATCAGAGTGCTTGGTTGAAAACCCACCGAGACAAAGAGGTGGGTACAACTCAGTGGGTAACGCGTTTATTGGCTCTATTGAATTTAAAGTCAAAACCTAAGAGGAAGAGGAGACAATAGGGGACCTTTTATGAACCAATTTTCTGTCAAACGCGAACCAGCGCCTGATTGGTCGGGCGAACGTATAGAAACGCGAGAATTTTTACAACAGGGAATCTATTTTCTTGTATTTTGACAGTCGAGTCGCCCATAATAAAATAGTTTGTGCACGGCTGTTTCCGCAAGAGAAGAAGAACACGTCACAGACAAAAAAGCCAGTTGTCTCCTCTTCCTCTTAGGTCAAAACTAGAAATACACAGAGGAAGGGATAAGGGAGATCAAGGCGGATAATCACTGGTTGGCTGGAACTCACGGTCCGCTAGTGCTGGTGAGTTATTTGCCGTTAATGACACTGCCATAAACAGTGACAAAACAGTAACAGATTTGGACCTGTTTCATACGACCAGAAGGTTCGTGCTGCGAAATTTCGCGAATAAACACGAGGAGGATCGATCATAGCAAAACTTGCCATATACAATCGTCTTAGTTCATTTTAGTAAACAAACTAACACTTCTTCTTTCTGTGTCACCTTTAATTATCTGTCTTGAGTGGAGATAATGTTTTGAGCTAGGAGTGTGACACATCTAAATCTCTTTTTTAGATGGCCAAAAAATCTCTCACTAGCAAATCAATCTACGAAAAATCTAGCTAAATCCATCTACTCGCATTGCACTCCATCTTTTTGCAGGAAATCTTCAAAATCGTCATCAATCTTCTTTCTATCTACAAGGTATGCGCGTTTCTCACAACAGTAAAGCAGATTGTTTACTGCATCTTAGATAGAGTCGCCCCCCTCGGTTTTGAACTGTCAAAATCTGAGCCAATCGCCATCTCTACCTCTCAGTCAAAATGACGTCCACGATCCTAATAATTTGTTTCTACTTTGTTGGAATGTTGTAAACATTTAGTACAACAAGTTCAAAGTCTAATGACACCACAATTTATTTCTGATGAGAGTTTCTACACACTTCTCCAAAATTAACAACTCCCAAAAGAATATTTCAGCCGCTAAATGCATTGCAAAATCCTAGACGTCTTCTCGGCGTTTTTTGATTTATTGTTTTCGACACAGATCAAAAGCAACTGATCCGTGAAACTCTGCAACTGTAGCATAAGTTACTCATCAAACGGAAATCGATCGGATTCCACGAACCGGAAATAACCCATCAAATAATTTCAAAATTCCATTCATCCATCCTTAATGCGCACGTGGTGCATCAATCTTCATACCAACCAGCAGTGCTGATAAACAACAGCTCATTCCCGGAGATCAACCCGTCGAACCCAGATCCGTCTGGAAACATGCACTCCGGGTAGCCATCAATCAAAAGCTCCCATAATTCCATTCAGCCTACCGAACGAAAATCGACTCACTCACATCTCTCTCTCTCTCTCGCCCATCCTCCGCCGCGTTCAGATCCACCAAAATTCTCGCCGCCCCCGTCGTCAACGGCCGTCGGCGTCGAAGGCGAATCACTTACGGTTGCCATGGTGGCGAACGGAAATCCCATGTCGATTGCCTACACCTGGACCAAGGACGGCCTTCCGATTCTACCGTCTGGTAAGTAGACGCACACACGTGCACACCATTTCGCGGTCCATTGTTCTTCCTCAACCCTAGTGGCGCTATGAACAATGGAACCCATTACCGGTCTAATCACACTCGATTAATTCACCTTTCGCACCGCCCCTTGGCTGGCTCGGACAACGTTGCCGTTGTTGTTGTTGTTACAGGTGTCCAACGAATCGTCTCCGAGGGACCAATCCTCAACATCACCAAGCTGACGCGGAACGATGCCGGAATCTACACGTGCGAGGCCGTCAACTCCCAGGGCTCGGCGATGATTAATATCACAGTCGTGGTCGAATGTAAGTACTTGTAGCTGCTGGACCCATAAGGCGCATATGTGAGATTGGGTGTTGGGGCGAAACCGTCAAAAAGAGCATAATGTGGTTCAACACCAGCGCTGCAGCGCCCGCTGGTATATAGAAACGGAGGAAGGAGACGGATGGTGATCCATCTTTGTTGAGGGAAATGCGTGGGACAGCATTGTGTGGTTGAGGCAACTCCGTCTGCAACGTGGACCGTGAACCGAGATTTGATGAGTTTGAATCGTCTCAAATTACATTACCGAGGGGCGGAAGTGCTACCCACCACCCACAGCAGTTTCATTGTTCGGTTGGTGTTGGCCGGAAATCGGTAACTAATTTTAGCGCGCAAACAACGACTCATCCGGGCTTGTTTCTGGAATTGATTTACGACCGGAACTGAGGCTCTAATATCCAACGATAAATCAACAAGTTTTTAACTCCAGTCAGTAGATACTTTCGCTGCCAGCCGGGAGTGCGGCTAGCCACGGAATTGACGGGTTATTTACTGCCCTTCAGTTGTGGGGTTTTAATGGTCTGGTTGTTACAGCGTAACGAGACCTGCTAAACTGCTAGCAACCAGGGTTGTCAAAATTATCTTCACCATACGCATCGACCACGGAAAGTTGTTATCGTGACTCGGGAGCACTTCTCATCATCAAGAAACCGAGAAATGTCGCGTAACATGGCAAAAGATTCTATCTTCGCTGATCGATTCTCCTTATTGACATTATTGGTCTGAGACTGCATGAAGCTCCTCGCAGTATAGTTATGACCAGATTTTGGCAGCCCACATTTTGAAAATCTTTTTTAATATTCTGAAATTATCGAAAAGTCTGATGTACGGAGGGGCTGATAAATTCGGGTCATTACTGTATTACATAGGAATAGGCAAAAACATCTTTAATTCAAGCGAGAATATTAATCTGCAGTAGGGAGCATCATTTAAGAAAGGTTATGAATTTGCAAAGGTAATGAATTTGTGTAAAAAATGGTATGAAGGTTTAAAGATTGCGCAAATGATTTGAATTGTGTATGAAGATTTCGGTGAATTACTATCGTAAATTATTGATTTTCACTTACATTGCTCTAACTTGGGTTGTAGTTGAAAAAAATAGTATGTGGTTGTCACGACAATGATTAACAAGTATGTTGTTATTGTGATGACTTGGCGTTTTTGTCTTGCGCATATTCATCTGTCAATTGACCGTATGTTGTAATTGTTTCGCATTTCTATATTTCTTGATAGGGGAAATGAATGTAATGTCGGCCTAAATGCCCCTAATTTGGGCCCATACATAAATTCAGCAATCGAGTAAATTTTCAATAGCGACCAAAAATATCCACTAGTATCGTTCCAATAACGCGTTCATCTATATAAAATGCATAAATAGCAGATTTTTAGCGATGGGCCCAATCTTAGATCCATCGGCCAACATTAGAGCAAAACTGATCGTAACAAGAATAGGCTTTTTGGTCGTTGCCATAGAAAGAATTTTCTTTTTTTTTTAAGATTTGGACAAGTAGATGCGAAGTTAGAGCGCTAGAAGTGATTTTTTTTTTAATTCTTTCAGAGGAATTCCCATACAAATTTCAAATCAATTTTTGGACATGTTCATATTTTGAGGCTATAAATGTAACTGGAGGGTGGCCTATAATAAATTTAACACTCTTTTTTTTTCAAAATGATCGCCCTAATCTTCAACAGATACCAGTAGACAGGGTAGGGTAATAGTGTTAAATTACACTGTGTAATAGTGGTTTACCTATAGTTGCGGTATTGGGGTCATTCCAGAATAATGGTGGAAAATCATTAAATCTAACTCTCCTAGAATAAAGTAGATTTACATACCGTGAAGTCCAGTTAATCTGAACGACACTTCGTGCACATTAACGGTGTTAATTTTTAATTTAAACAACCATCAGAAAAGCGAGTTTCTGGTAACCTTATTTTAAGGATTGCTTTGATTCTGCGTTCCGTTTCACATCATTCCATTTCGCTTTTCTCCATTCTAAAGACTGGAACGCGCAAAAATGTTGTCGACATCGTTCCTTTCAGTCAAACTTCATATCACAAAAATCTTCTTATTTTTCTTTTATATTTAAAGGGAAAAATGTTCGTTTATTCTGCCAAATCAGAACTGCCGTGTCTTCCGCTTAACCCCTTCCATTAAAATTTGCACAGTGGACTCATCGACCTTATTCGCCACCGAACGCCAGTTAGATTTGAACTGCACACTAAGATTTTGTTTCCGTGTTCGGTAAATTTACCGAAATCAGAACAGCTGACCATTCGGTAAAACTTTGACCTTCATTTAAAAGGCTATTGAATTTGAAAATAATATCAAAACATGTTCAACCTTGTTTAGATGATCTAATCTTGTCATTTAAGTGCAGATTTAGTTTCAAAGTAGCTGTAAAGCGATTGAATTGAATTGCATAAATTTTACCGAAAAGTTCAGCTGTTCAGATTTCGGTAAAAATTACCGAAGTTGGTGATAATTTCTAAGTGTGTGCTGCTCGTTTTCCATGGATTATTCCGTTTTACCAAGGCTCAATACCGTTCGATAGGGTGGAGATCTGGGCTGTTGGGAGGGTTGTGGTCTTTGGGTACCACAACCACGTTGTTCGCATCGTACCACTCGATTGCCTTTTTCCCATAGTGGCAGCTCGCCAAGTCCTGCCAGAACAGCACAGGTCTATTATGTTGCTTTAGGAATGGTAGCAGCCGCTTTTTCAGGCACTCCTAGACGTAGATCTCTTGACTGATGGTTCCCGTAGTAATGAAAATGCCGCTTTTAGACCATACTTGCATATGGCCTGCCAGACGAGATATTTTTGACGTAGGACTAAGTCTGTGATTTCTATATGGGGGTACACTTTGTGAAAACCGAACATGGAACCTGAAACAAAATTATGAAAGATTTTGAATGTTAATAACTCAGCTGCCCCTGGACCAATTTCTATAATTTTATCACCAATCGATCAGAAACATTTCTACACATCTTTTAAATTCAAGATTTTATTGAAAATTGAATGTGCAACTTTTGCTATGATAATTAAAATTATCACTGATTGCCTGCTAAAAGCGATTTCCCTAACACAGATTTCAAAGTTGAATTCCAACCAGTCTCACCATACGGTGTTTGTTCAATCACCGCGTTGTGAGTGGTGGTGTTCTCCAGTACACAACGAAAGGCTCCCCGCAAGCACTTATTTAGCTATCAAGGCTGGCCTCAACCACTGATCGGATACAGTTCCAATCACCGTGCGTGGTAGTGTCCGGTCGCCGGCATCAACAGTAGCCGCAGCAGTGCTTTCGGCACGTGGCGTTGAACATTGTTCTCCAGTACACAACGAAAGGCTGCCTGCAAGCAGCGAGCTACAGCCCACATGAACATCCATAGAAGGAGGAAGAAGCCGCACCGCTATTGTTAGGAATAAGTGAGTCACTGTGGGCCATCTATGTGAAACGCGTTATACTTAATAGTATAAACAGAGATAACCCCGCTCAAATTCCTATTCCTGCACAAAACACAAGCTCCTACTGCAGTAAACAAATAAGATTTATTATATATACCGCGTAGTCCTACGTCACCATCACGTAGGGCTGTGCCTTGTAGTTTTTTGGGAACTTCGATAGTTTGATGGTTTTGAAAAATTTTCTGATGCGGTAAAGTCGTATACAGCTTTCGGGATCACTGCTTTTCCGACGTGCTTTGTTTGTAATCTCGGTTCGCCACCTTCACCTTCTTAAACGTCGAAAACCCGACTCGTTTCTTGGCCCGCTGCACAGTAGTATGGGACACATTGAGCTTGCCAGTGACGTCCCGGATGGAGAGGTTAGGATTCCTCTTATATTTCACCACCACCTTCTTCGTCGTCACTGCCACGTCCGGATTACGATTGCCACCGCGGTCGACAGACGCTCCCCGAACACTTTTAAAACGTTTGCCACGGTCGATTTGGCCACATCCAGCAGTTTTGCCAACTTGGCGTGTGAGAACGTCAGATTCTCTTGCTGCGCGAGCAAAATTTTGACACGCTGCTCCTCTTGCTTGGACGTCATTTTGAAAACTGGAGAGCAAACGGTGAAAACTCATCATAGCAACAATTGTATTTACACTCAACATCCAAATGCAGCATTTAAGGGTTTTTATGCATTTTTAACAGAAATTCATCAATTTGAAGTTGGCTATTTTTTGCGCGTTCCAGACTTTATGTGCAAAATGCCGTTTGAGCAATTTTTAGTTTTTGGGTGCTCGCCAATCAGCGGGGTTCAAATTAAAAAGTGTTCAGATTAAAACGATCAGATTACCGGGGGTGCACGGTACTTGAGACTTCAAATTAGCCAAAAAATTACGTATATGACTCCTTTGCACCTAAAGTAACGGTAGGGTTCCTATAATAGTGGAATCCATAAGAAACCAATGCGTTCCACTATTACAGGATACAGAATTAGTGACAACCTCAACTACTGGAACAGTGGTCCTATTAATGAAGGCCGAATGATATGATACAATTAAATCACAATGCAATATTTTGCTGCTAAAAAAGATGTTAAAAGCCATAAAAATTATGTGCATATCATTTATTTATGTTTTAATACATAGATTGTCTAAGTTCCTCTACTACTGGTTAACCCACCCTAATTTGAAACGTGACTGTTATTTGCTACAGTGAGCTATTAACAATCCGAACGCAATGCCTCCGGTAAAATGTGTAACGGCTAATTGGCAATGTTTGAAAAATAATTGTTCAACAATTTATCAATAGATTTTAGATCTATTGATACCGTATAAATCTTTAAAGTATAAAATTTAAAATGGCGCCAATAGATTTGAAATTTGTCAATAAATGGCTGAGCTATGATTTTTCAAACATTGCAAGTTTGTCGTTACACATTTCACCGGAGGCATCATGTTCAGAGTGTTAAAAGTAAGGCAAAGACCATAGAGTTCCTGCAATTTTTCAGCTGTTCATAGAACAGCCCTGAAGAT